TAGAAGATGGAGCCTCACCAACTACAAGGTGTGATGTATGGACAAGATGTGTCCACATCACTACCAAGGATCCTTGGCCCAAGTATACCCATATTCCTCATATATATATATATATATACAGAGAATTTCTCATACGCATAGATGCGTACGCATTAACGCAGATTTGGGCTTTTTTGAAAAATTGCCAACGATGGGTAATAAAACCCCTCCGTCTTGTCACCCAACCCAACAACCCAGCTCTCTCAGATTGAAGAATCCCCAAATCGAGGAATCCCCCTCCGAAACCCTCCCTCCTCCCTCTCGCCGTCGACCCCCTCCTCCCTCTCACTATCGACCTCCTCCTTCGCCTTCAGCTCCTCCTCCTCCGTGATCTCACCGTTGACTATCGTCATCCGCCTTTAGCCCTCCTCCTCCGCGATCTCGTCGTCGACCTCCTCCTCCGCCTTGTTAGGTCACTCTTCCATCTCTGATGCCGCTACCGGACGGCCATCAATCCTCTCGCTATTGCCGATCAGGTTATTGATGCTCGACTTGTGAACGCTAATGGTGAGATTCAGAACGGGAAGTCGATGGGCAACTGTCTATTCTAGGCTATTAGAGGAGGTGGTTGTTGTTTTGGTATCATTTTATCGTTTATGGTCACGTTGGTGCAGGTTCCTCCAAACGTTACGGTCTTTAGCGCGAGCAGAACACTGAATCAGGGTGCGACTAAGCTAGTTACGAAGTGGCAAAATGTTGCTCACGAGCTTGATCGCAGGCTCTTCATCAGGGTTATGCTCGTGCCCGATGAAGACGAGAAGGGAAGCAAGACAGTGAAGGCCACCTTCAATTCCTTGTTCCTCGGTTCGAAAGCTGAGTTACTTCCCTTGATGGAAGTCAGTTTCCATGAACTCGGGTTGCGGGAGGAGGACCGCGTCGAGATGAGTTAGATCAAGAGCGTACTGTACTTTTTAGGCTACTTGTTAGGGGGAAAGAATGAGAGCGCCCTCATGGAGAGGGGAGTTGTCGACCCTTTCTTCGCACCGTTCAAGGCGAAGTCGGATTTCGTCAGGGAGCCGGTCTTCGAACAAGGGTGGGAGAAGATGTGGAAGTGGTTTTCCGAGGAAAATGAGAGATTTTGTAATATTTGTAATTTTTTGATGCATTTATTAGATTACATAATAAATTTTGTGAAGATGGTGATGATTTTGTGCAGTGAGTAACGCGTGGAGACCCACCTTCACCCGTCTCTCCTCTCCTCCGGTTTTGTAATTTTTTTTTGTTCGTGTATATTTCTATCTCTTTCTATAGATTAGAAAGCCAGTAGTCTTTGGGCTAGTTGCAAAGGGAGAGAAATGAGTATGAAAAGTAATTGAAATGTTGAAGAGTGAACTAGAGCTCACCATGACTCTCAGTGGCTGCCGTACTCTAAAGCATGTTAACAGGAGCCAAGTCCGAACTCTCAATGGCTAGTTTGTATTATGATTTGTGCTTAGTTTAAGCTTGGCTGTAACTTGTTCAGAAATTGAATATTGATGAGCTCAGACTAGTAGATATTTGCAAACCAAGTGACACTTGATGGTTTAACAAGCAAACATTAAGATAAACACTCGATTTATAATAAAACTAGTTGCGCATTCTGGGAACAAGCAAACATTAGGAAGAAACATCATTGAATTCTTTCACCACAATTATAACCCACTAGCTCACTGTTGTAAAGCCATATACATCTCATAAACATCAAACAGATGGTGAAATTTTTAGTGTTCAAAGTTTCCCCAAAGTACCAAGAGAAGAGCCAAGATACCCAGAAAACTAATGCAGATTCCCAAATTCCTTGAAATATGGAATAAAAAGAACACAAGCACAGATTAAGACTCTCTTCATTTTCCAACTAATGTCACAATTAAATAACAACACATTAAACACATCGTTCAAATGACAACACATTGTTCAAATGACAACACATTAAACAATTCGTTCAAATAACATTAAACCCCGTCCACCTCCAGCCCCCTCAGACTCTCCAGGCTGCACAGCCTCAGTATCCCCTCCACAGGCTTCATCTCCTCTATCACCTTGACAAGACTAACCACAGGCTTCTCCCTAGCGATGGGCATGTAGTCTCCTTAGACTTGGGTCGATGTAGCCAGCTCTTCAGCAGCAGAGTCTCCATTCTGCACCAATAACACCATTTAGTTTCAACAGCTTACAAAAAAAGACTGAAAAAATTAATTTGACGCATTGTCAAATGTTGGGGTGCAATATATTGGACATGAAAGCTTACAAAATGAGCAATATTAAATAGCACAGGGACCATAAGATGCCGGAGATAACAGCATATCAACAAGGCTATACTAACCATACAAATCTGGGTGTAGAAGCAGTCACGGTATCTAGTTCCATGATCAGTTGGATAAAGACAGAATGAAAAGAGGAAAAGAGTAGTTTTCTAGCATAAATGGATGTTGTGTCTTATCTACATACTAGTCCGAACACATGCAAAGATATCCTGATCAGATTTTTTTGTTAGACCTTAAGTCGGTAAAGGTTCTTATTAGATTAGAACTGTAATTGGATAGGTTTCTTTTCCTAATTAGATAATGTTCTAGTTTTTATGTATTTATTTATTTATATACATACATAAATAAAAAGAAGGGATGCTGGTTTTTATATAGATAATGCTCAGATTTCTTTGCCTGAGCATTCTTATTTGAATGAGATTCTAAGCAAATTTGAACTACTTACTTTGATGTCTCCATTAACCTTCTAAGCAGATACATTCATACCAGATTGAATAAAAAGCAGGGATGCTACATGTCAGATTTTTTTATTTGTTTCTGATAAATTCAAAAACAAAGTACCCACTGGCATTGCTGATCATTGAGACTGCTTTCAGTCAAGAAATACGCTCACCTGGCCTCATTGTATGATCGAAAGTATTTAACAAAAATTAATCCATGAGAACTGGTACTAAAAAACAACCTGTTTTATGGGTTTCTAGCCACAAGATTGCGGATCATAAGACAAGACTATCGTTGCATCTGATATGCAGAAGGTAACTTCTGCATTGACTGGATTGCCAGATCTCCATCACCGGCTTCAACAGCACGAGCAGCATTCTCAAGGGATCTGAGTGAGAGTATACCAATAATAGACATAACCTACACAACAAAGCATTCTTAGTTATTAATTTGCATGATAAAGGCACATAAAACTATGGGAGTGCTGCCCATGAATATTGTATATCGATGAAAAATAAAAGTAAAGTTTTATGCTTAGTATCTCATCAAATACCTCTTGGAGAACAGAGGGATCATCCGAAAATCTGGATGATAGTTTTTATGCTTAGTATCTCATCAAATACCTCTTGGAGAACAGAGGGATCATCCGAAAATCTGGATGATAGTTTAATTAGTCTATCAAGACCACCCTTCTACTTGGAGAACAGAGGGATCATCCGAAAATCTGGATGATAGTTTAATTAGTCTATCAAGACCACCCTTCTAAACTATAGCAGTTTTGTTATCATCACTTCCTGCCAGCTACAAATAAAAAATAGTTAACACATAAATACACATATTAATTTATTTGTAGTTCAATATCAAAATGAGAAGCTGTTAAGACCTTAGATAACAAAGAATAACAAGCTCGAGCCACAGCCTTGTTGTTATATTCGCCACGGCCATCTATAAATTGGAAAATTGCATCTATTCCGCCATTTTTAGATATTGATCGGCAAATTTCAACCTGCAAGAAAAAAGAGAAAACATAAGAAAAAATATATGAGTTTCAATATAGCAAAGTAAACAAAAACGACTAGGAAAATATATTTAGAAAAACACATCCTAGATCATACAGTTACACTACACACAATAGATAAACTACAGCCAAATCACAATATGAGAAATTCTAAGTTGTTAAAAGGAAAATCAAATTTCCACTCAAAAGGCTAGTTGTATGTTTTGGATGTTAATATTTGCCCTAAAAGACACCCATTAAATTAAACACATAAAAATGAAAACCAAAAAAAAAACTCATGGCGGAGGGGCTGGAGTTAGGGCTGGAGTTGGGAGATCACACAGAGGAGGAGTTGGCTCGCGGAGGAGGAAGGCTGAAGGCGGAGGAGGAGGTCGACGGAGAGATCACAGAGGAGGAGGGCTGAACTCGGATGACGATAGTCGACGGCGAGATCGCGGAGGAGGAGGGCTGAAGGCAGATGACGATAGTCGACGGCGAGATCGCGGAGGAGGAGGGCTGAAGGCAGATGACGATAGTCGACGGTGAGATCACGGAGGAGGAGGAGCTGAAGGCGGAGGAGGAGGTCGACCGCGAGAGGGAGGAGGGGGTCGACGGCGAGAGGGAGGAGGGAGGGTTTCGGAGGGGGATTCCTCGATTTTGGGATTCTTAACAAAATAATAGCATATATCATCCATGCAAATACTTTATATTCAAAGTAAAATAGTTGTCATAAAAAATTCCAATTTTTTTTGAGAAATACGTAATACGTCCTCACTCATTCAAGGAATTCCTAGCAGAATCTAAACATGAATCCTAAGAAACTCTGTTCTAGCTCTATGACTCGACACAGGATGATTCTAAGGATGCTGGAGCTAGAGATCTAATACCAAGTGTGACGCCCTTATTTTCACATATGGCTACAGTTCAAGGTGAACCCAGATATGTAAAACTTTCTATGCACTCACACTGTGCAACAACACGTTTCACCATCATAATAATATCTCTCTAGTAGAATCAACAATAAGTGTAGGTACAAAATAGGCAAAATATGGGAAATAAATGCATTAGACATGATGTAGAAAGATATATCTAATAAATATAATCATGTCTCAACCGGATAAACTATATGTAACTAAAGTCTAAAATAAATGTGAAGTATCTCAATGTGAGTCAACTAAAAATAAACCAAGGTACACAACCTTTACAAGATGAAATACAAAACTAAAAATGTCCGAAAGAAAATATCAACTATGGTGGAGTCTCATCTCATATAACGACTACTATGCTGGAAGTATGTCATCCTGCGGCTCTCCGAAACTCTGAGCTACTGCCTGAAAGGAATTGGAAAATAAAAAGAGAAACAATAAAAGTGTCAGAGCACTACAGCAAGATCATCTCTATCCGCCCCCAAGGGAAGGGCTACTAAATATGATGGAGGCTCTATTTATTAAGTATAGTCTACCTAAATTATTTCCCTTGTATCTAAATGGAATTAATATTTAGAAATCTATACTACGAGACGTAGTACATCGAGCGAAATAATCTAAATAGAATTAATAATTAGAAACTCACAACACGAAACTGGTACGTCGAGTGAAATAATCCAAACAATGAAACCCTCATGTAGATATCATATGTCTCAAATTATGAATCACTAATCATTAATTCCAAACTAGGAATAAAGAAAAACAAAACAAGGAAGTAAAGTCATCACAATATCGGGCCAAAAATATCTTTCACTATCCCTTAGAAGATAATATAAACAACAGTATATAATCACGTGTATCCACAAGAGTAAAGTACCTCAGTCATTGTGACGCCCCTGGGTTCACACAAGGCTGCAGTCCAAGGTGAAACCAAGAATGTCAAACCTGCCATAGGAAGTCATTTACGTTCACCATACTCTGCATATCAATTTTCTCAAGATGAACATTGTTATCATGTACATCAATGACGCTCAAGACTATTTATTAACTATGTGACGCCCCTGGGTTCACACAAGGCTGCAGTCCAAGGTGAAACCAAGAATGTCAAACCTGCCATGCACCACACCGTGCAATAACATGTTTCACCATCACAATTAACATCTGTCTAGTAGAATCAATAACTGGTGTAGGTACAAAACAGGTAAAAGGTTATACAAGGAATACTGATGAAATGATAACAGTCACATAAATATCTCATCATCCAACAATACAGAAATACATAGCCAAAATCTGAGTAGATAAATCTGGAATACTCAACAAGTCTCATATACAAATGTCTGACAAGAAGGAAATAAGGCACATAGCCTTTACAACTTCTAGAACAATGCTGTCAAATGTCTAATAAAAACTACAATGGAGCTCCAACATGAACAGAACTAGACAGCTAAACACTAAGGTGTGTCGCCATCAACCTGCGACTCTCCGGGCTCCTGGCTCGTTACCTGAAAGGGGGAGGGACAACGAGCGTCAAGCGCTAGCGAGCAACATCACAACCAACCCCAAGGGAATAGGGCTCGTTGTATAAGAAAATACAGTTATCACAAAACATATATATAGATATATATATAGGCAATTATCCTAGAAATGAACAATGGGCTTTAGTACTTAGGAAGTTTCAACACGGGCATAGGTACGTCGAGCGAAATAATCCAAACAAGGAAACCCTCATATATATACCTTGTATCCCAAATTGAAAATCCCTAAGTACCAAACCCGGAGTCTAATACGTGAACAGAAAATAAATAAAAGGAAAGACAACCCATCTCAGAACATAAGTAGAGTATCATGTGGTGTCCCATGCCATAAAATATCAAGTCGTATTCTACATAAGTGTCATTCCCAGTCTAGGTAGCTATCATGTCTTAACGGTATCAAAAAAAATCGTGTTCCAAAACTCAAATGTGTACCATGCTCAAGGTTTGGCAAAAATGTCCAACACATGGACTAAAAGTGATGTAGGTCCAACACATGGACTGAATAGAATGCATGTCCAACACATGGACCAAGATGGTAAGTATCCAACACATGGATCAGAATAATGTATTGTCCAACACGTAGACTATAAATGAAGGAAATGTAATTTATCACTTGCATACATGTAAAAATACACCAAATCTAAACCCGCACGCATCCCGATGTACATGTCTAAACTCATGTCAAAAGTCAACCCACATGCACAGATAAATCATTAACGTGATAAACTAGGGTCAGGTTACCGAGGCGACCCCGAAAGACAACTTAAACAGATCAAGAATCTGTAAAACAGCTCATCAGTCGACTGATGTGTCGACTGATGACGTCAGTCGACTCATACGTCGACTGATGGAGCTCAGACAGCACAGCCTCAGCTCGCCAGTCGACTGACCAGTCGACCGAGAAGCTGAGAAAGCAGAATCAGCCCGTCAGTCGACTGATCAGTCGACTGATGGCTGAACAATTTGCCCGTCGGTCGACTGATCAGTCGACCGACAGACTGCAGATAATCTGTACAGGTTCTTATATACCCAAAATTTGATCTAAACTCATCCCCATCAATTCCAAGCATGAATCATACGAATATTAACATGTATGGACTAACTGAAACATAACTTTCACATACATATACATGAATAAAACTCTAAACATAAGTATTTATGTTTTAAAAACACTTTTCAAAACAAAACCCATGTTAAATCTCTTTTAAAACATTTCAGATCTGGATTTTAAATTTACCAAACATTGGTAGGTTATTTATTATACTGAAAATGCACATCTTCATGTTACATGCAATAAAAATCCAATCTTTGTACTCAAAATACGTTTTAGGCCAAAGAGATCTCAATAAAACCATTTGAAAACGTTTAAAAAGAATGGGACAAGGTTGGGCGAGATGTTACTCGCCTCTGAGGTGATGAAGAGCTCCTGGATCTGAGGGGGAGTGATTCCTTTCGCTGCAAACTGAAGATCCCGACGAAAATCCTCCAATTTCGCCCCAAAATCACCAAGAACTATCCTAGGGTTTGAGAGAGAAGAGAGGGGGCTAGGGTTTCTCTGGTCTGAAGAGGAGAGGGGATGATTTCGGGTGAAGGAGATTATATATGAACCCTTAAACCCGACCCAAACCCGAATCAAAACAAAACAGACCCGAAACCTGTAAAAACTGGAAATCAGCGCATCAGTCGACTGATGTGTCGACTGATACAGTCAGTCGACTGATGTGTCGACTGATCTGGACATTTTCAGTTTTTGTGCATGTTTTGCTTATTTGCAAAACCAACACACAAAACTCTACACCCATACTCTCATATCATCTCAAATAACTTGTTATCATGTACATCAATGACCTCAAGCTATTTATTAACTAAGAATTATTTATTTACTAATAATTCATATATATTCATATATAAAAATTTACGGGGTTCTACATTCTTCCCCCCTTGGAAATCAACGTATCAGTCGACTGATGTGTCGACTGATACAGTCAGTCGACTGATGTGTCGACTGATCTGGACATTTTCAGTTTTTGTGCATGTTTTGCTTATTTGCAAAACCAACACACAAAACTCTACACCCATACTCTCATATCATCTCAAATAACTTGTTATCATGTACATCAATGACCTCAAGCTATTTATTAACTAAGAATTATTTATTTACTAATAATTCATATATATTCATATATAAAAATTTACGGGGTTCTACAGTCATATATAACTCAGCGATGAGTCATGTTCATAATGGCGTCCACCAAGACTCGTGCTATCAGATAAAGTTGTTAATTCGTCGCATTATCATACGTGATTGACTACCAAATCAAAGTATCCTGTGTATACGGCTCACATGCCTCATCGCATCTACGTGCGGGACAGATAATTATATCAAGCATCCTAAAACTCGACTCAATGGCCTATACTAATAGTATATCGACGTACTATCCCAAGTAGTACTGAGCCCTGCTCATCAACGATATCCATACATGTATATAATATTTAAATAACCTATATCCCAAGTATAGTTGAAAATAATACCTATAATAATTCTCTCCAGGATATCTGTGTGTGTGCTACAATACTATTAATGTATGTTCATGATTGTACGTGTGTCATGGTACAGTTCGAACCCCGCACTCATGGTCAAATGATGCAAAAAAAACAACCACTCAAAAACAAAGAGAACACAGGTTGGTCGATCACCCTTAGGATGTTGGTCGACTGAAAGTAATCGTGCACACTATGTGCACGCTCAGGACCTCACCGGTCAACCGACTAGTCTTGGTCGGTCGACCGGCCAAAGAGGAAAATACAAGTTCAGGTTTTTGATGTTTTGTATTTTATAACTTTATTTAAAACTTATTTTTATTAACATGAGGCATATAACAAGATTAAATCTTTCATAATTACTTAACAGGAATTAACTCATCATGATATAAACACATGAATTAAACTAATTAGGGTTTAACATCCTAATTAATCAAAATTTCTCAAATAACCTAATTTATAAATATGGTTACGTAAACATGATTAATTCTAAACATTAAATAGAGATAAATTCATTTAAACATCCTCGTATCACTTAGGTATCGTCAACCTAGGGTTTAGACCTCTATAATTAGAAAGAAAACTCAAATAATTATTAAACTAAGGTTTAAATATGATTTAAGCATGAATAACAAGTTAAATATGAAACTAAATACAACCCTAATGATCATGATAATCAAACTAATATAAACAACAACTAAAACTATAGATTTTCACATTGGTTCAAAGATTAACATCACAAACTAAGATTTTAAAACATCGGGTTAAGCTTAAATATGAGATTCATCAATTAAACATATTAAATATTTTATTAACTACAAGGAAAGGTTTGGAGGAAGATGATCTTTCCTCAAACATCGTGTTGAATTCATGAACACGTGCGTGCAAGATCCCTCTTCACCAAAATCGCAAAATCCCATCTTCCTCTCGACAAACTCCTCAAAAACTCTTCCAAATCTCACAAATTATGCTTATGGTTCGAGAGAGAGGAAGAGGGGCTACTTGGATTTTGAATACTGATGAAAAGATGTATATTTATGTGTAAACATGTATATATATAACTGCAAACCCGAATCAAAACAGCCCAAACCAAAAATAGGAAACCTAGTCAGACTGGGAAAATAGTCTTCGGTATATTGGCTGTAACTTTCACGTCTGACCTCAAAATGATGTGATTAAAGATGCATTTGAAAGATATCGAATAGGGGTAGCAAACAGGTTAACCCGACCCAACCTGACCCATATAAAACTTGATCTGACCCGTATAAGTGTGACCCGACCTGACCCGTTTAATAAATAGATCAATATGATCCGAAACGATTATTAAAT